GACGCCGAGCTTTCGCCCAATATGCAGCTGAACCACGAATAACCACATCTATATCTAATACACACAAATATTATAATGAGGCTTTATATTTTTAATTATCAATCTTATATATTTATTTGCTATTGTAAAATAGATCTAAGTGAATTGTTAGCTATAAAAACAAAACCATTTCATTCATTAACTACCTCTCATATATCATGATGTATGGCAAGTAATTATTACAGTACACCACATTACGGAACACAATTCGTTAGCACTGAATTTCATACTGTCACATATACAATAATACCTAGTTAGACATTGTCACAATAATATACTGTTGTAACATTAAGACATATATTATTATATGGTCAAAGACTAAAAAATTTTAACGCACTTATTAGGAATTAAAATATACTTTTTTAAAAATAATCTATTGTTGTCTAACACACATCTCATCAATGTATGTTGCAAATATAGTATGTGAACGAAATACTTGTAGAAATAAAATCAATTATAACATCTACATCTCATTTTAGATTTAAATTCACAGAATTTACGTTTACACTTGATTAATCCAAATTACCTGGATAAATTAAATAACACATTTTCCCATCTCGATATTTTCTTTTAGCATGATAATTGACTGATTTACGTAAATCTTCTCTTTGTAACATGTTCAAAGCTCGAAATACCCATGTTGGATCTTTTTTGCCACCGATTATCATTACTTTTTAATCGTAATTTATAATAATATCTTAGATTGATAGCAATTGGTCTTTCAGGATCTGCTTCACCACTTTGTCCAAGTGGATATAACCATGGATAACATTTTTCTTCTGAATTAAGTTCTATTTGCCACGTTGGATTTTCAGCACACGGAATTACTCGTCTAAAAACTTCAAGTAAAATATATTCTATCGAATATTAATTAATACTTAGGACCAGATAAGATTTCTGATGGTTCAATAATTGGTGAATTTGTTGTAGAATTATTATAGGCGTAACTATCAATGATTCGAATTGGTATAATATTTTCAGGTTGACATTTAAACATTTCTTGAATTTCATGTAAATTCATTATATTTTTATTTTTATATAAATGATTATGTTGCTTCAAATAATTCAAAGCTTTTGATACATGTACTGGACTAAATGAATAAGTAACAGTTGTAGTAACCTGGTTATTTTTTATTGGTTTCTCTTGTACAACTGCTAAAAATTCGTAACATCGTGGAAATGATAATAAATTTTCAACTGTTACATCTGTATCAACATGAAAATGAACGACCTGGCCTTTGAGAGCTGCTTGATGGCCACGAATAATAATAATACTCATATAAACATGTGTTAATGTAATTGCTCGCTGTTCCATGAAACCTAATATCAAATCTTCTGGTATTATTGAAATTTGTAATTTATTTCTATAAGAGGTATATGGACAGTGATAATGCTTAGCTGATGGTTTGAAATCTATGCATTTTTTACATAATAATTGTCCTTTCAACACATCATGATACAATTCGTGATTGGAAGAGGCAACTAACAATTTGTTTTTAGAATACAAGCAAGTACAACAAGTGCATCCACACCAAGCCTGAAGGATTGCCGAAAAATATCTATAGAATACTTGTTATTGTAAATAAAAAATAAATAAATTTTTTATGAGAAACCTTTCTTTTAAAACATCATGTATATGTGTACTTTCAAAATTTTCTTCTATCGGCGGATGAAAAATAGACCAGTTTGATTCTGACGGGAATACAATATTTGTTTCTTCAAATGTTTCAAGTTGAGTTGTATTACGTATTTGAGCTGATGCTTTAGTATATTGATTCTTTTTATTTTTTTGTGATGGTTTTGAATTTCGATTCTTCTTATTTTTCTTTGATGGTTTTGAATTACGATTTTTCTTCTTTTTTTGAGACGGTCTGGAATTCCTATTACGTTTTTTTATTTTTATTTTTCTTGATTCTTCATTTTCCGAAGCTGTAGATTCTTCTAAGTCGAACCGATCTATCTCATTTGGTTCTTCTTCCATTAATGAAATATGAACATGTAATCAATGAATATCAGCTTTTACTATCTAATATAATAGATAAAAGATAATAGTCATAAAATAAACGAATTAATTAAATACTAGAGCACGTCTATTTTAAAAAGCGAACAGTAAACGTTTTTTGATTTCAATTAATTATAATTACTAATAAATGATCTATCTCAATAAATTTTAAAATAACTCTTACGATGATATTAAAAATGAAAATTAACAGTTGACGATAAAAAATTGATTGTTGAACTATTTATTTGTAAAAAATATTTCATTTGTATTAATCTTATATTATACAAAAAAAATCGTCTTAATTTGTTACTCAAATATACTTAACAAATAAAAATATACTCTAATATTTACATTTTAATTATTAGTTCAATATAGTCAAAGATCCAATACTGACATCATTAAACATACTTGGATGCAAATATTTCTTTATATTATCCGTATAAATTCAACTATAAATAACATTTAACAAAAACTATTGTATAAATGCTATATAACTACATGAGAATACACATATCTCAACTTTTTATTAGACACTCGTATATGAAACGACTTATATGTATATATAGAATGTGAAGTTCATTATTCCGTAAAAATTTTACTTATCTCATTGTTTTACATGACATCATATTTTGTCACTGACTACTTGAAAATTATGACCATACAAATAAATTCATAACGAAGTACATAGTTTTGTCCTAACGATTTAAAACAGGTACTTGTAATCTAATTAAATTAATTTTTGTGAAACACGATCTAAAAGAGAGTGTTGAAGTGTTTAAGGGCAGAAATTTGCACCCACTCCCCCCCGCCCCTCCCCCCACAGACGTGACCGACCGAACATCACAGACATGACCGACCGAACATCAAAGGCGGCGAACGACATAGCATTATAGGCCGTCACAGACGTGACCGACGTATGTTCTTTTGACCTCGTAACAGACAGAACCAATAGGGTAACATAGGCCTGTTAGGGCCATACCAGAGCCATAAAAGGGACATCAGCGAAAGAACAGAATAGAAAGACAAAATGAGGGAAAAGATGACCTTTCCAAGACTCGAATCCACACCTTCTGCTATCCGGGCAGGTGTCCTGAGACAATTAGACTAGAAGAACCAACTTAATCTCTAGTTTAGGATTTAGTGATTCATCACAGACCCTAACAAGGCCTTCATATAGGTAATTAACGTAGCATCACGAACCGTGAATGACAGATGTTCTTTTGACTTTGTTACACACTGTAACTGTCATAGATATGAACGTTGCGTTGGAGAATAAAATGAAACTATTGAACTCATACTATTTAAGAAAGGTGGATATGTGAGTAGTTTTCTATATTAATCGATTTTTCTATTAAATTTTGTATCAACTGTTAAAATAATAACCAAATGACTTCAACATATGAAAATTATTTCTTTCTGATATTTCTATACTTTTATGCTACAGGATAAGAGAAGAGCCGCTTCATAATGATACAATTAAACTATCCTCTTGAAGATAGAAGCACAGTTAGATCGTGTTTCACATTTTTAATCCCGTTAAGGATTGCGCTAACAGCTTTTTATTTAGCTGGAGAAATATGACATCGAGAGAGTTCATTCTGACGTCACTGGACGCCGCTCGTCATGCTCTAACTATATTATAAAACTGATTTGTTTTCATCGAAGTCTTGAGTTTGTGGAAAACGTTTTTGATTGTGTAACGGCGTTACTAGGGGTGGTGCATTAGTGTTAGAGTTAAGATAATGCTAATACTTTTGTATTAAAAATAGTCTAATACTTAATACTCTTGGTATTATAATTAGACTAATACTTAATACTTTGGCATTAGAGTTGAATTAGCATTAGCATAATTCAACACCAACTATCTTTTTTTGCTTATTCTTCGAGATATGACTTTGGTCATACCTTTAGACTCTTTCTAGTCGAATTTTTTCGACATTTGCTATAGCGGAAAGAATCTATCTGTGGATGGATATTTATAAAATAATCCAGATTGCAAATACATTTTTATGAAAGATTGAAGCTGAAAAATGAAATCTCATTGCAAAAAATTATACTTTGACAACATGATAAACTATCTGACTACCATATGGCGTAGATACTAAGGTGAATAAATTGTCTCTTTGGAAAAGAGATGTCAGTTTTACAAGGGGGAAACAGCTGATTAGGAAACCGCTAATCACTCTTAATCATCCCTAATCACTCATAATCATCCCTAATCATCCTTAATCATCCCTAATCATCTCTAATCATCCCTAATCACTAATAATCATTCCTAATCACTCTTAATCACCCTTAATCACTCCTAATCAGCATTAATCACTCCTAATCATTATTAATCAATCGTAGTTAAGTAGAAAGGATAATCTTACAAAAGAGATTCATAATCAAACAGAAGTTTCTTCTGTATAAATATGTATGCCAATGCATTGTTGATACGAGAACACTCTTCACAAAACTATTTCTTTAATAAAAATTCAAGCTTTCTAATGTACAAGACAAATATTAATATATGATGCGTTTTGAACGAAACAGAAAAATATTTGATTTCTTTCTATGTTGAAATTTGCCCACGTATATTTATATCCTAAACAAGAAAGTAGTAAGAGTGCAGTTTACAAATAAAGGTTAAAATACCGTACAAGTAATATAAAATATGTAACACACAAAAAAAGAAAAATTTATCTACATCAAGAAATAATTTAGTTGTACAATATAAAGTTATGATGTAAAAATAGAACTACACAGTATAACTATGACATAATAAAAACAACTTAAATATAATTTTAGTTCTTTCGTTTTTTTTGACTGTTGATTTGTTGTGTCGATTCAGATGTACGTTTACGACTAGGAACAACAGCTGTGGTCGATTGTGAATTATTGTCAATAATTTGACTTGATGATGATGATGACGTTGAACAGGAATTATTTCTATTCATTTCTTCAAGTTTCTGTGCCTTACACAAAAGATTAACATATTTACAGCCAGGTGATTTTAAATGACGATAAAAATTAGATGGTATTAATTTATTATGAAGTTTTCCTAATGTAATAACTGTCTTACATAGGCATTCAATTGATGCTTGGATGCCATTGGTACCTGTTTTTACGACTAATCTAAAATTATTACCTTCTTCTAATTTGAAATCTTTTAGATTCAAAAAATTTTCATTCAAAGATGACCAATCATCAATACATTTTAATAAATGATTTCGTTCATCATCAATGGTAAGAGTAGAATTAGAGTTAGCAGTTGATACAGCTGATGTTGCTGATGGAGTTGCAAATGAAGAATAATTGATTTGATGTTTCGATGCAATTCGTTGTCCTTCTTTAAATATACGATCACTTGCTATCTTCAAAATATCGAGTAAACATTTAATTTTTGTGCGATTAGCATTTTTGACGATTGAATTATTATTATCGATTTGTAAAAGTAATTCTTGACGTAAGAAATTATTTGTAACATCATTAATTTTTAAAAATAAATGTTCGAAAACATCTGTCGTTAGCAAAAGAATTGGCACAGAATTTACTTCTTGTGCTCGAAGTAAACTTGATAATGTTGAACCAAGTAAATATTCAATGAGAGAGTAAAATTCATCATCAACTAATATTAATGTTTCTAAGGGTAATTTCCAAGGATGAAAATATAATTCTTGCAATTTTGGCATATTAGAAAGAGACATGTTGTAGATAGTTGATAGAGTAATAATGGTGTATATTCAACGTTTAACAAGATAGAAATAACTAAGGAATTTTAAATAAAATAGATGTGGAAACGTGATAGAGAAAAGATAATCAAATCTAGGGATGTCTCATGGTCAAATATATACACTATGAAACATGGACGGAAGCAGTACAACTAGGAAGAAAAAGACACGATAGTTACATATATTTTTCTGAATATTCTTTTCGCTCTTTCTCTTCACGTTCAACTTATTAATTTCGCTATTGAATGTTCAAAATCAATAAGATAACCATGTGCTTCTACATTGCAAAAGCAACGATGTTTAACAAAATGAACACAAATGAATATCATGGCTAGACAAGTGAATTTTCTTCTTTTCAATCCAGACCACGTTTTATGTTCCGATAAAAATTAAATATAAAGCAAAAGATCATCTTATTTCTATTTTTATTAGTGAAAATCAATGTTATTTATCTTATTCAAATAAAGAGAAATACACTTTTGTTCATAATACTATAAGTATTAATATTTCGAGTTTAATCCAGATAGGTTCTAGTTGATCGTTACTCAAACTTATTTGTGTCAATGTAAACTTTATACATAAAAAATAATAGAAAATAAAAGTTGAAAGGCATTAATTGCCTTGACTAGCATACCAACTTAATCTTTGCGAGATATATGATACAAATATTAAAAATGTGAAAGTAACAATGAGAAACATATTTCATTTCTCTTAAACTGTTTTTTTTGTATTGTTTATAAATCATGAATTCATTTTCTCATTCCAGATTTTGTTACACGTATTAAAAAAAATTAATTATTGAATTATGGCTGCAGCTGTCAGTATTAATGATACTTCTCGTTTACCAGAAAATGTTCTGGAATTAGAAGGAGAGGATTTCTACCGATTTACAAAAAGTATAAGTGGTGTTTTATTAACTGAAGTACTTAAAGTACAGAATATTGATTCAGTTTTTATATTTTTACAAACAAAAGATATTTTTGAAATATTCAAATATAATTCTATAACATTACGGGATTTGAAATTGAAAATAGGTTTCGATGTAGAAGATGGTGAATTTCAAGTTAAACATGGTTTAAAATTGCAATACGAATATTTATCAAAGCTATTGAAATTAAAATCAGATCAGAAATATATTAAATCATCATCTCTTACATATGAAAAGATCGACATATTACTTCAAAGATATCCATTTCTGCTTTCTCTTCTTAATTTTCATGAGAATGAAAATATAATAAATGATCAACATGAATTTTTAACATTATTAATAAATACTATAACTAAAAACTTATCTTCAGCTAATGCAAGTCGTTATAGATATGATAATAAAATAAAAAGTTTTGCTGTTTGTTTGTACATACTTGGAGGAAAAACGACGTATGAATATGTTAGGTTAAATCTGCCGGGAGCATTGCCAAATCTTACAACAATCAATAGTTTAATTCAAAATAATGATGATAATTTAACAGAGGGTGAATTTCGGTTTAATAAAATGGCAAAGTATTTAAATAGTTTCGGTGTTCGACATGCATATTGTGCCGAAGATTGTAAGTTTTTCATGAATAATATCGATTAGATTTTGATTGTCTTCTTGCAAACGATATTTTCTTTCTACAAGAAAAAAATTTAAGAGTATATCTGAAATAAAATGATTCTTGTTTGTTCAATGATTAATAAATAAATCATGTCATGGAACATAAAACAAATTACAATCATATATTTTCTAAATCTTTAATAGCTTCTTTAGTCTACTTTAAATAGAAGTGCTTTTCATTGAGAAAATCAACTTTGTTTGATTGTTCAAATTCGAATTATATCTTTACTAAATGATATAGAAAAAATTTCTTTACTTATCTGTATTCTCTTGATAATAGCAACAATAGTGAATTAAAACTGTTTAAGGCAAACAAATAAGAAATAAAATTAATCTTTTTAAATATTCTAGGCACAGGTGTGGTCCGACGTATTAAATATGACACACATACAAATAGTTTTATAGGTTTTTCAACTCCTCTATATGGTGGTATACCATCACCAACTCATTTCAAAACAGATTCAATAACTGAATTAAAGTTGTGGATGGATCAAACTGAAAAGGCTCCATTATTAAATATTCATTGTGTTCAACCTATTCCACCACCAAATCAAACAATAGCACCACCAAGTTTTGTTCTTGCTGGCTACGGCGTTAGTAGTAAATATACATCATTAGATATTCTTAGGCGATGGCTATTTATTCACAAGAATTCTATTGAAAAAAATGTGCGAATCCTTGGATTCTCAACTGGTAAATTCACGTCATTTTGAGAGATTGAAAATTTCATTCATACCTATTTGAAGTCACCATTAAATAGTTCATTTAATTTTCGCTTCAAAACACTAAAAAAAAATTAAAAAAATCAGTATTTTTTCAAAATTACATAGAAACAAAAGTTCCGATGAACGTGTAGTATTTTATCTTTATAAAAATAATTGAATAAAAGATATCGTTGATTATAGAAGACTTTCTCATTAAAATATTGTGTTGATGAAATAGAAAACAAGATACATACTTTAAAATTTGTTTTCATAATACTTTAGACGCCGATAACAAATATTTTCGGGCGATGCGCCTGATGGCTGGTTTTTATGCAAGTTTATCGAATTTTGATATACATGTTGATTCTTGTATGTTTTCAATTCAAACTGGTAGTTGGTCTTGGTTTTTTTTACGACGTGATCAACTTTTTGTATTTATGCAAGACGCAACTCACTTGGTAACTAAACTAAGAAACAGGTTGCTGTCTGCAACAGCAGCCTTAAAAGTTGGTGATAAATATATAACAATGAACCACTTACAAGAATTACTTGATAATGTAGAATTGACTCGACTAGATCATGGATTGACACAAAGTGATCTAAAACCAACTGATCGACAAAATTTTCGTTCATGCTTGAGAATTACGTCTTGTGATGTTTTAAATTTAATAGCTCGTGACGATAATTCTAATGGAACTTACATGTATTTAAAATTGATAAAATTTATTATATCTTCGTATATAGAACCAACAACTTCAATTGAAGAACGTATGTTTAAGCTTCATTATTCAGGTTCTTTTTGAGATGCTCTTTAATTGAAACAACACAGTTGTCTTAAATAAAAGTAATCTTTTTGCTGCAAACTTGAGTCTTAACTAAGTATCAATCTAATTTTACTTTTTACTAAAAACAATATTATAGTTCGGGTAATTTCCTAAATATTAATATCAGTGGTACAGCTAACTTTTTTAGAAAACCATGCATATACAGAGCGTTGATCGACATGTTTTTTCTTGTTATGTAGGTTTGAAAGGTGCTTGGACTGCTGTTTTTCTTCTACGGTTGTGGTGGGTTTGGTTATTGCTTGTACGTTTGTCATCTTTACCATCATTTAGTACTAAATCTAAAAAGCATAATCGTGAACAACATTTTGTTACTCGCACCGCATTTTTTTCTACAGAACTAAATGCTCATTATTTGACCTATTTGATTCTTCTCGTGCAACAAAAACAACTTCCTGCAGATGTATTAAATATTCATCTTTTTTCATCACAAACATGCGAGTCTACTTTTCGTAATACACGTTCACTTACTGGAGTTTTCTCTACAGTTATAAATTATACTGTAGAAGAGTTTTTACGACGTTCAAGAAAGCTTTCAATTTTAAATGGGTTTAAATCTCAGGAGAAATCAACATCATTACTAAAATTTCCCGTTCATCATAAACACATTTCACTTAATACAACAAGAAATAATCAAAATTTGATTGATATTAGCACGTTGAATGTGGAAAACGTGGTCATGCAAGCTTACCAATCAGCTGTTAGCATTATAGAAAATCTTAATATTTCGTCTGTAAGTTATCTATCATTTATATATGAGTTCTTCGATATGCTGCGCGATTCTTTTGTAACTTCGAATAAAAGATTGATTCGCGTAGTCTAAAGAAGAAAAGAATGAAGAATTGTATTGATTGTAATTTTTTATGAATATTCTAGTTATTGAAGAAGCACAAACTGTTTGATATGAATGCGTTGAGTGAATATTTGCACAATCATCTAAGATCAAAATCAAAATTACATGATAACTTACCACTTTTTGAGAATGCCACTGATGATTCAGATTCCGAATTTGATCTCGATAGTGATGATGATGATGATAACAATTCAGTGTAAGTTACATATTAATTATGACATTAGATAAGGGTTTTTTTCTATACATATTTTCGTAAAATTATTCTCATCATTACATGTAGCAAAATGCGAAGGAAATTACGAAAAATTAGTTCGAATTCGATGATCATACATCGTATCGCTCATTTTCTCATGAATTTTTTAGATACAGCAAATCAAGTGGTAGCGAAGGAGAAGATGATGATGATGATAGTATGGACAACGAACAATTAAAAACATTTAAAACAAGTTTTGGTGGATTAAATATCAAAGACAGTGTACCAGTTGAACAAGAGAAATCATATTTCAAGATTAAAATCAATGATACGAATAAGTTTTTACACAAGTCTACGGCTTGTTATCTATTTACAAAAGATAATAATAGGTTATCTGCTGATAGATTGTCACGAGTTATTCAAACATCAAAAAAATAATGGATTATTTCTTTTTCTTTGCATAAACTTTTTCTTCAAATCAGATATATATGTATTTGTTGATAGTTCGTGTTATTTTTTCTCAATATTCATAGATTGAAAAACAATACAAAAAGAGTTAAGTCAAAAGCTTCGAGAACTTTAAGATAGATAATGATATCTTATGGCAACATAGTCTAGTAAATGACTTAAAACAGTTTCGTTCTATATATACAACGCAAAAAAAGAAGTATAAATCCATAAAATAATATACGACTTTGATTCCTTTTCCTGCGTGATCAACTCCAATCACTTCTAATCACTATTAATCACTATTAATCACTGATAATCAACCCTAATCAATCTTAATCAACCCTAATCACTGATAATCACTGATAATCACTATTAATCACTATTAATCAAGTCTAATCAGATAATCAGCTGTTTCCCCCTTGCAGTTTTAGCTCTTGTTGATTTTGATCATGATAATATGCATGTTTATTAAATAAGTTTTCATTTTGTACTTGTCTGGAAAGACAAAATGCAACAAACATATATAGTTCTTATAGAATCATATATACCGCTTGCATAAAACTGTAATTATCTACGTAACATCTTGTAAATTGCAGTAGTATTTCTGATGAAATGATGATACATTGCCTTAAAATATTTTTGGTACATCCATAACATTAAAATAAAATAAAAACGGCAGTAAGTGTTAATTGAACTTCTGTTTCGTTCGGCTAGAATACAGCTGCAGAGAAGATACATTACTTCGTTAATATCGACCTCTATTGTTTTTAATGGAAAAGAAAGAATGAAAAGGAGGAAAAGAAAATACTATGCGTCACACAACACGTCGGCGTGTGTAAAAAAACGAAAGGAATGATTGGTCCTAATATGAACTACTGTTTCTATTTCTTCTTCCATTATCATTTCTTTACTTTATTTATTTCGAAGAGACGTTTACAACTAAAGAGTGCTTTATTTTAACTTTGTTGACGACCAAAACACACACTACTATACCTTTTGGTACATTATAATTCAAATGTCTGCTAGTAACAATTATTTTCAAACAAATTCGAACACTTTACCGCCGAAGTCACAGACTCGTTCTAGTAGTGTACGAGTACGTCCTTCGAGATCATCAACAACAGATCGTATGTTACATCGAACATTAACTAGTCGATCTCCATCATCTTCAAGTATTGTCCGTCGTGGTCGTGAACCCTTATCACGTGAGTAAATTCATTCTAAAAAATAAGTAGCCTATTTTTGTGTTATGAGGATTGTTTTGATTGTATATAAGAGCTTTTACAATCATCCTCAGTAGTGCATCTTCTTAGCTATGAAATCTCACGAATACTTAAAACTAAAGTTTCTAAAAATCTATTATTATTTAAAATATTCTCTTCGCTGTCTTTATTATATGATTAGCAGCGTGACTACTCGACTTTCAAACGAGAACATGACATACTTTGTATTTTTTATCTTGTTCTTATTGCTACACACGACTGACATATCACTAAGATTTGTCTTTTTGAAATTTTAGTAATATAATTTTTCGCTTTGAGTCGACTTACATTTCTTACCGACTACTTTATTGATTTCTTAATGTAGTTATATTTCATACTTTAGATGACACTAAATTATATTTCATAAACTTCTACCAAAATTTATCGTTTAATTTAATCTCTTCTGTAAAAGTACATCGTTACCATAGTTACTACTAGTTAATTATGCATATTATATATTTCTCATAAGATATTTTATTGATTTTAGAACAAAATAATCAATTAAGAAAAACAACATCAACTTCAAGTATCAAAAAAACATTACATTCATTTACTAATCTTTCATCTATTAATAATTCTCAATCGAACTTTAATCCAGATTATGCTAGTCAAGATGTAATAGATATAGCTGATACAACTGATACCGGTGATTATGATGAAATAGGTACTCAAAATCAATCGGACAAGGAAAATATCACCTCTTCAAATTATCCATTTGAAATTGATAAAAATCCTGTTTTAAAACAAAGAACAGCATCTGGAAAAAAACTAGCACAAGAAGTGCTTGAAATGTATGAGGAGCTACATAATGGTGCTTTTCAATGTATGCTATGTAAGAATAAAGATAAAGTGAAGGTTAGTTGATTTGTTTTTTTATCAAAATATCTGCTATCTGAATATACTCGGAATATGATAATTGCTTTCAATAGAACTTTTTTATGAGAAAAATAATTAAGTGTAGTATAAAAAAAATATTAATTCTAATCAAGAAGAAAAGAATTGTTATTGTAAGTACGAATTATATATTTTGTAGTTGACATACAGACACTAATCAAATTATTTCATTTTCTATTAACTAGATAATCAAACAAACTGGTCGAGGAACAGCCAATTTGCGATCACATCTTCTTGTACATGGACTTAAAAACTTTGCTTTTGATTCTCAAGACGTGCAACGATCTTCAAGAATGAATCCTGCCGCAATTGATAGAGCGTCTTCATCTCGTAAACGTGAAATAGATGAAGCTATATTGAAATGCACAATTGACGCTGGTCTACCGTTCAATCTGTTTAATCATGATGCTGTAGTTGAACTTCTTCGTTTGCTCGAACCAGGATATATACCACCTGATCGTCATACAATCTCATCACGCATTCATGATCAATACTATCAGCATATATTTGATCTCAAATCTCTCTTGCCAAATATCGGACCAATAGCGTTCACCAGTGATCTATGGAAAGATGTCTCTCGACAACATATTATTTCTCTATCTTTTCATAGTTTCTCGGTCGATTTCGAATTTGTATCATCACCATTATCATTTCACCTATTTCAAGAACAAAAACTAGCAATTAACATTCGAGCATTTTTCGAATATGAGCGAGAACGTTTTGGTTTGAACTCAAGTTTTTTATCAGGTATAACAACTGATAATGGGCCGGATATAAAATGTGCGTCATCATCAGGTGTACTCGGTCCTCGATTTGCCTGTCTTGCTCATTGCCTTAATCTTGTCGTTTTTCATGGAGTATGCTTATGGAATCTGCCGAATCCAAAAAGGTATATAATCTTTTATTTAAGAAAGGGAGATTGAGTGTAAGAAACCCTTATTCTTATTTTGTTTGACAGAAAAAAATATTTGATATTGTAATAGTATAAAATCTCCAAAAGCAAACGATGAAAATTTTAATGTTTCTTCGTTAAATAATGACACTTAATCTCATATTGTATTCGATATTTCATCAATAACTAAACTGCTATATCTGTACAGGTTTCCATTTGATTCGATGTACGAACCAGTGAAGACATCTCTTGTCGATGATGAAGATGACGAAATTACAAGTGAAATTTCATTGAATGAACTATCATCTTCTATGGCTGATCAACAACGTTTACTTGATTATAATACTCAACAATTAGTAAGTTATTATCAGGTGTAATTGTTTTTTACTATTTTTTTTCTGATTTATTTGCATTAGATAGGTGGTTTCGATTTTGATGAAACAAACACAGATAATCCAACTGAAGAACCAGTAACCAATCGAGATATTTTCGATCTTCTTATTCGTATTTATCGTCTTATCCTAAAAGTCCGTGATTTTGTTTCAATGGCTCGAACAATTGCTTCACTTCAACGTTATATAACTGAACGAACTGATTCTGGTAAAGGTGGTTTCGTTCTCGACGTGAAAGTAAGTTTTAATTTCTAACTTTTCCTGCGTGACAACCAGGGAAGACATCTAATATCTGTTCATATATTCCTGATTGCTTTCTTTGTAGGTACGCTGGAATAGCAGCTTTAAGATGATTAATCGGCTTATTAGTCTTCGTGATTTGGTGGATGAAATTTTAAACAAACGAGATTTTAATGGATTAAATGCTACTCAAAAACAAAAACTTCGTTCATTGATATTTACTCATGACGATTGGGATTTACTGAATGCACTTCATGATTGTTTAGAACCTTTTGAAAAAATTACTACTATACTCTCTGGCGATTATCCCACGCAGTCAATGTCATATTATGCTCTACAAATATTGAAAGCAAGTGTTGAGGAGACATCTGATCAGTCTCACTATCACAAAGTTATAAACAAAAGTTTAAGTTATCAATATGATTATTATCTTGATGCATTTTTACCTTTTGATCAAAAAATTACAATGAAGGCGAGTGATTTTATGAAAATTTTCTTTTTAGAGATTATTTTCTGCTAAGCTAAAGAGTTGCATCTGAATTTAACTAGCTTGTTGTGATACTTTCATTCGATTTTCATGCTTTCATAAGAGAGTATAGAAAAACAAGTATTTGTGAAGGGATATAAGATACATTCAGAAAGTCTATCGAGCATTAACTGACGAGGGAACCTCCCCAACTGTCGGAGAGCTTTGAAGTTCGGATCCCGTCCGTTAAGTAGATCCTAGTGAGGTATGAAAAACTCCAAAACGATAAGGGCCCATAGGCCTTCTGTCCCGAGTTATAGGCGA